AATCATTAAACACTTTTATTAAAGTATAGCAAGAATCACCAGGTTTTGTAGACTATCCACCTTTTGCACATGCTACTTTCTTTGTTTTGCTTAAAAAACAACTATCCATTGAAACACTAATGCATTCAGGTAATTTATCTTCATTGCCTTCTAATTTACGACATCCTCCTTATTTTATATCAAAATAACAACGTTAATTCACCAATTCTAGACAAAGTGCCTAAGAATAGATATTCTCACATTTATCGATTAATAATGTTTTAGATATACAATAAGGTTCTTTAGAATAAAAAACTTCAACAACGCATTTTTTTCTATAAATCAAATCGTCACTTACTTATTTAGGACAATCAGATTTATATTTACAAAATTCTCTAGTGTATCTACAATAACAACCTTTGTCATCATCTTCACAATCCTCTTCTTTTATGGGTTCATATACAATTACTTTAATTTTTTTTTCAATAACATATATTGTGCTATTAGTAGTTGGGTCAGTGTAGCTAGAGTAAGGATTAGTCGGTTTAATTAATGTTTCTTCATAAATTGTCTAATTTTCATAATGCCATCTTCTTTTCATTACTCTACAATCTTGCAGGAGAGCATACTAAATATCTGAAATTTTAATGTACTCCTAACCACAATCTGAATCTTAGTTACAAAAATTAGTTTTTTAACCTTAAAATCCACAGCGTTTTTCGCATGTTTATGTGTAATTTTAGGGAAACGTTATTGTCATATTACCATTAACATAATCCAATTAAAGAGTGGTTGTTTAATATGGAATACAATTATCATCTGACTGACATGTTGAATTGGTTTTACTACATTGCAAAGGCTGTCCAACTTATTGTTAACCTACAAATTTATGTCCATCTTTATATCTAATTATATAGGAACACCCATCATCAAAATTTTCAAATTAATTATTTTAATTTTTACATACTTTTAACTCCTTTTTTACCCAATTATCAGTATAAAAATATGTAATTACTGGAACATATACATTACATGAATAAAATAATTTGTCCCAAAAACAATACTTTTCATATAAACAATTCTAAAAATTCTATTAATCTTGAAAACATTATTAATTACCATAAGTATCTTGAATTTATGGATTAATTGATGAACAAGCTAATTTATTATAATACTTCTTTTCTTTTATTAACCCAGCTATTGTTGAACATTTCTCTTGAAGTCCTATTTCAACATTAACACATCTGAGAATTTTCTGATCAAAAATACAAGATTTAGGTATATTCATACAAACCTCTATATTAATTAATATTTATGAATTCTCATCTTAACATTAAGAGTACTCTCCTTAAAATGGTTTACATTTCATTCTTTATAACTATTCTGTCACATCATAATAACAATTAAATCCTTTAGTTAGATATAAACATGCATATTCATTCATCCAATACTTTGAACATTCATTGGTATTAGATGTATCAGGTAATAAAACACATTTATCAGATTAATAAATATATCCAGCACCAGTTATTAATGAACATGCATCTTTTGTATATAAATTATTCGAATTTAACTTTTTAAATTTAGCATCTGGAGTTGAATTAAATCTTTGACATTATAAATCCTCTTCATTCCAAAAACATGGTTCTTTTAATACTTATAAACAAAGTATTTTATTTAAATTGCTTGAGCAATATAAAGTGCTTATATCACTGAAATTCTCATAACATTAGAGTGTAATATTATCCCATCTACAATTTCCATTTATATTATTATAACATGCAATAGAATTGGCACCTTAAACATCACATTTATTTTCATATGTTTCAAATTTAGCACATAAATAATCTTTAAATTAACAAATCTATCCTGATTTAATGATGAGTTTGCATACTTTTTCACTGACCTTACCTAAAGTATCGAAATGATTGCATTCCACTTCTTTTGGTGCATATTAACATTTATCAGCATCAAAAGAAAAAAAACATGGACTTACTTTATTTTCAATGCATGCTTTTATGTTTAAATTTGAATCACAGGATTAAATATTATCAACCTAATAATTCAATATAGTTTCACATAATAGCTTCTCAGAATTCCATTTACAATAATTATTTCCTGTATATCTCAAACAGAGATTTCTGTTTCCTATTGCATCTTCACATTTATTAAAAGGAGTTTCTGATTCAAATTATAAGCTTTTACATCTTTGATTAACTTCATCAAAAGTAAAGTATTTATCAACCTATGATTCTGCCTCAATAGCGAAACATGTGTATTTATTAGTTTTTGTTGGCTCTTTGGTTAGAAAGTCAAGAGAAGGTTATTCTTTAAGATTTATATTAATGCATGAAGTTCCAAAGTGTGCACATCTCTAAGTTGTGCTCCATTCAATCATATGACAAGAATTAAGATTCATTTAAGAACATTTGAATTATTTAACATTGTAGTACCTTTTTACAGCTTCTGGATCTAAAGTATTCACTTATTAAGGAGTTAATTCTTTACATCTTGCTTCTTCAAAATAGCAATAAACTCCTGGTTATTGCAATGAATATTTACTACAAGAATGAGCATTTATCCCAATCTCTTCAATTTCTGTACAACAATTTGTTTTACAAAAAGTAGTTTTAATTTAACAGATATTTAATTTAGAATTATATGAGCAATATCCATAATTTTCAGTTAATGATTTCTCTTTTAATAGATCATAATCTGGATAACTCATTTCAATCAGAGTGCATGTATTCGCATTCATTTATACACCTTAAAGATTTAGTGAAAGACAATTGCTGTTAAATGGAAGGTTAGCCTTAGAACATTTGCCATTACTTGCTTGCCATATACAGTACTCTCCTTTTTTTGTAATACTTAAACACATAGGTTTTGATGGTGAATTCCCAACACATGTTAATAATTCTGTAATATTTGGTGAAGCATCATTCAAACACAAAGATAATTCTTCATTAAAGTAACAAAATCCTTCTGCTATCATGCAACCATAACGATTTAAACCTATTTCTTCACATTTCATATTATTTTTGGCTGATGTCACACATGAAATTTATTCCTCATCATATCTACAAATTTCCTTTTAAAATTCAGCATAATTACAGGCTCTAGCATTTGCCCATTATAAACTTAAACAAGATATTGCTGAAATAATTGCTTTATTCTAAATAAATACACATTTGTCTTATCTCCACATGCATGCCACTCCATTAGTTGTGATTGATCCACAAGCTACTCTATTCAATCCTAGCTCTTAATTCTCACAAGAGACACTATTTAAGAATTGAAGATCTAGTTGTTATTGTTGTATTTATTCTTGCTAAGCATCCTTATCTACTTTTATCAATAAAGGAATGCATTTTTATAAAATTTAATGATAATAACATCCTTTTGTATTATTTTCATAAATTTAAGAACAAGTATAAGGATTTGCATGTCCAATATTTTCACAAGTAGTAAAATATTAATTAATAGAAATAGAAATACAAGCTTTATTAGTCCATTGACATGTTTTTTTATTAGTAATAATACTTAGACATCCTTTTTAATTAATATATGGTGTATTACAATCATCATCAATTAAACTTGTAATACATAAATTAGTATTTTAATCATATTTACATAATATATTAGGTTTAGAAATAGCTTAACATACATTTCCATTAACTTTAATAGATGAATTTTCAAAATTTAAAGGACAATTAATATCTTAATTCATAAATATTCTTTCACATTTATTTATATTCCATTTACAATATTAAAATTCTGTTTTTAAATTAACACAACTCATTTCATTTAAATCCATATTACATAAATAACTTTCAAGATCTTATTCATTTAATTCTTAACATTTTCCTTCAATAAATATACAATTTTTATTCTTTATTTTTAAACATCCCTCCTTAGATAATCCTTCAGTATTACATGATAGATCTTAAAAGTCAATTATTTGAATGCACTTAGTATTTTTTCTATCATATCTATATAATCCTTTTATGGATTGACAGACACTGATATTCACTTCTAATATTTCATTTTATTAGTTTTCATTTAAATATATATAAGGATAACAAGAATTTTCTATCCACTAACAAGAGATTTTAGGATTTTTAATTGATAAACAAGCCCATCTATTTAAATTCATTTAACAAGTATTTATTTCTGACTCTTCAATATTTCGACACATCTGATCTTTGAAGATACCTATAGATTAATCATTTTTCTTACACTCCTATCCTTCTGTTTAAATAGATATACAAGCTTATTTTGTCAAACCCTTTTCAGTACATTACAAAGTCTTCAATTACTATTCCTAGACAGTTATGCAACCATATTCACCTGTAAATCCAGAACTTATACCTTATAATTTCGATCAAATAATACATAATAGATTCTATAATTTAGAGCATGTTACAAATGTAACAGATTTTTAATAAGATTCTTCACATGAATATGCTGTTTCTTTTATTTCTTCCAAAGGCTAGCACTAATTATTCTTCCATTCGCAATCTGCATTTACTACATTAAAGCATGCATATTTGTTATAGGTTGTCCTACAACCTTGGTTTTATAGTTCTGTCTTTAATACAGGTTAGCACTTCTTATTAAAGACACCTTAACTATAAAATCTTCTTTACATTAAACTTCTTTTCCATAAAGGTCAGTTTATTAACTAATGCAAGCACCTTGATTCAAATTTTCAATACAACCTAGAGATATCGAATTTTCAAGAATGCACTTACTCTCAAAATAATGGAAATTGCCTAATTTTAAAAAAAATAAAAGTACATTTATAGTCAGTTGTTTTTTCTATACATGCTTCTGGATTGTCAGAATAAATTTAGCAGGATGATATTATCTTGCAAATATATGTGTGGGTAATTATTAATAGAATAATTAGAATTTACATAAGATATTTAAATAATGATCTAAATAGAAAAGTTAAAAGGCTTTTATATTTATGATAAATGCTAATTTTAGATATTATAATAATTAGATTATAAAATAAATCACTTTATATTCATTTATAAAAAAGAATTCTCTTATTTGTGTACAAATATAGTGTATAATGTTTGTATTTTCAATAATTNTTAAAAGTCAATTATTTGAATGCACTTAGTATTTTTTCTATCATATCTATATAATCCTTTTATGGATTGACAGACACTGATATTCACTTCTAATATTTCATTTTATTAGTTTTCATTTAAATATATATAAGGATAACAAGAATTTTCTATCCACTAACAAGAGATTTTAGGATTTTTAATTGATAAACAAGCCCATCTATTTAAATTCATTTAACAAGTATTTATTTCTGACTCTTCAATATTTCGACACATCTGATCTTTGAAGATACCTATAGATTAATCATTTTTCTTACACTCCTATCCTTCTGTTTAAATAGATATACAAGCTTATTTTGTCAAACCCTTTTCAGTACATTACAAAGTCTTCAATTACTATTCCTAGACAGTTATGCAACCATATTCACCTGTAAATCCAGAACTTATACCTTATAATTTCGATCAAATAATACATAATAGATTCTATAATTTAGAGCATGTTACAAATGTAACAGATTTTTAATAAGATTCTTCACATGAATATGCTGTTTCTTTTATTTCTTCCAAAGGCTAGCACTAATTATTCTTCCATTCGCAATCTGCATTTACTACATTAAAGCATGCATATTTGTTATAGGTTGTCCTACAACCTTGGTTTTATAGTTCTGTCTTTAATACAGGTTAGCACTTCTTATTAAAGACACCTTAACTATAAAATCTTCTTTACATTAAACTTCTTTTCCATAAAGGTCAGTTTATTAACTAATGCAAGCACCTTGATTCAAATTTTCAATACAACCTAGAGATATCGAATTTTCAAGAATGCACTTACTCTCAAAATAATGGAAATTGCCTAATTTTAAAAAAAATAAAAGTACATTTATAGTCAGTTGTTTTTTCTATACATGCTTCTGGATTGTCAGAATAAATTTAGCAGGATGATATTATCTTGCAAATATATGTGTGGGTAATTATTAATAGAATAATTAGAATTTACATAAGATATTTAAATAATGATCTAAATAGAAAAGTTAAAAGGCTTTTATATTTATGATAAATGCTAATTTTAGATATTATAATAATTAGATTATAAAATAAATCACTTTATATTCATTTATAAAAAAGAATTCTCTTATTTGTGTACAAATATAGTGTATAATGTTTGTATTTTCAATAATTGTTTATTGAATACTCCTTAAATATTTTGAATTTTAATGATCAGAAATATGTTATAATAATATAAAAAATAATTCAATAAAGTAGATTCAAAGCCATAGCAATAAAAAAAATGGAATTAAGGTTAGTATTGAATCTAATGAATTATCAATTTTAATTTTTTTTGGAACTTCATCTTAAACATATTATGTATCTATGCATGGAGGTGTTTGATACTCATCCCAAATACATAAAGTTAATTTTTAACACTAAGTTTTAGAATATTGAAATTAGCATTAAGGAATGCAAATCTAATAATTTATAATTATATTATACTTAGTGTTTTTCATAAAAATAGCATCGATCTTTAGGGCAGGACTATTAATTAAAGTTTTAACATGGTTAAGAAATACATCTATTTTTTTTAATATTATAAGTGCAATATTCAACTTTTTCCATACATTCACAGATATCTGAAATTTATTCACATGAAAGACAGATTAAATCTTTAGTTTATAGACAAACTGACTATCCAATTTAAGTACCTTGACAAGAACTATTTTTATGGAGAAAATTACAACCCTCTGTAGTACAAATTTAAGTATCAATATTATCATTTTTTACTAAATTCCAAGAACATTATGCACCTTAATATTAATTGTTATTGCATTCTTTTTCTTATAAAATTTCAGAACATTTAATTTAATTGATACATTATTTATTGATCCAAGCACAATCAAAATTAATACATTAATATTAATCAGAAATATGATGACATTATTTTGTAATGCATGAATTGAGTAAGATACAATAATCACTATAATTGATACATTATATTCTACTTAAATTTTCACAACTTTAAAATTGAATACAACCATCATTACCATCACTTACACATTATAAATCATTAAAAGAAAATATAGAACAATTTATTGAAGGACCTTTAATTTAATCACATGAAGTAGCTTCAACACATTATCCATTAAAATTTTAATAACAGATCTTTCCTTTATATAATTGATAATTGCATAAATTATTATCATTACACTACTTTTCTTTACAAATACCTGAATTTTCAATAAACATAGTTTATTCAAAATAACATTTATCAGAATTAATACAATTTAGATAATCTATATGTTCTGAGCAATCTTTGTATAAATCTAAAAACATTTTGCATTAACATTTATCATTAATCCATTAACATTATTCATTTGAATTACATCCATTCATATTTATTCCTGAAGTAGAACAGGAATCTAAAATAGAAGATTGAATACATCCAAATTCTAATAAATTATGTTTACATCCATCATTTTTAATTTAAGAACAAACTAATTCATTAGCAAATTGAACATCTTTGCATGTTAAATTTAAATTTCGATCAAATAATTAGCATTTTTTATTCTAATAGTAGCAATTTTTTATTTATACACATCCATAAACATTAATTCCTTCTACATCACAATATGTTAAATTATCATCTGGTTTTTTACACTTCTATTTACTAGAATCATATGAACAAGGATCATTTTCTTATACCATACTACATAAAATAGCATTTACACTCACATTTAATTTCTCATTTCCATTTTATTCTTCACAATACCCTTCTGGTATTCTCTCTTCACAATGCTCAAAATATTAATCATTATTTTTTATCCAAATACATGGTTAAGTCTTTATGTTTAAACAAGCATATTTATTTAATCCTTAATGATCACATTTCACTATATTTAAATCAATAATATCACAAATTTCATCTATAATCCCACAAGGTTATACTTAAACCACCATAGAGCCTAATGATATATTAGTATCTTAAGAACTTTGATTAGCATTCTATACTGAAGTTTGTAATTAATCATTTGTTGGATTCATACAAATTTGCTTTTAAATGTTCCAAGTACATAGATTAGATAAATTTTAATTTTTTACACATATATAAAGTGTTTAGTCATAAGTAAATTAAATATTTGTGATTAATTAACAGGTATTTTTATTAACATACTAAATTTTTGAAAAGTTTTCAATATTTAGATTATCTTCTATGACTTTTTAACATTATCCATCCTTCCAATAACAATACGTTTTTTCCTTATTTATATTCAAACATGATTGAAAACTTAAAATATTTAAGCAATCAAATTTATTTTATTGTCCATCAAATTATTTACATAATCCTAATGGTATTTAATTTTATTCATTAATTTGTACATTTATATCCCAATAACATTATGATATAGTTTATTATAAACATGCATTTTGATTAATGTAATCAAGACAATTATTAGTATTTTAGATTTCAATGAATGATTAACATTAATAATGAATAAAAGCACACATTTATCCATATCTTTATACTTAAATACATGCTTTTTAATTACCATGCATTTAAGTAATATATTCACATGAATCTGAAATATTATTATTTTTAAATTAACATTCATTTTAATTCCAATAACATGGTATTTTAGGAATTCTTTTACATTATTCTTAACTTTATACTTAATCACATGTTAATGGAATAATTTCTTAACATTTTAAATTAATTTAATCAAAAATACAAAATTTATCAATAAGTGAATAACAAACATTTCTTGATGCATTTTATATTTAATTACATAAAATTGTATTTGATTATTATTAATTATAATAAGTACATTAATTATTCCATTAACATTTAAATTTAGTTTAAAATAAACAAGATTCAATAGTTAATGCTTTTTAACAACATTCAATATCATTAATATCACAATCTAATATATCTTAATTTTAACCATAACAATAATTAAAAAATTAACATTATTTAGAATTTGAATTATTAGGTATACATGCTAATTTATTTAATCCTCTTGGACATGTTAAATCTTATGATTCTAAATTTGCATAAATACAAGCATTATTTAATTGATCATATTTACATTCTATATCTCTTGTTTATTCACAAAATTCATATGTATTTATCATAATTATATCTCTACATTTACTATTTTTATAATCTTAAATATTTTCATTTTAACATTTATTATCATAATATCNAGGTTATACTTAAACCACCATAGAGCCTAATGATATATTAGTATCTTAAGAACTTTGATTAGCATTCTATACTGAAGTTTGTAATTAATCATTTGTTGGATTCATACAAATTTGCTTTTAAATGTTCCAAGTACATAGATTAGATAAATTTTAATTTTTTACACATATATAAAGTGTTTAGTCATAAGTAAATTAAATATTTGTGATTAATTAACAGGTATTTTTATTAACATACTAAATTTTTGAAAAGTTTTCAATATTTAGATTATCTTCTATGACTTTTTAACATTATCCATCCTTCCAATAACAATACGTTTTTTCCTTATTTATATTCAAACATGATTGAAAACTTAAAATATTTAAGCAATCAAATTTATTTTATTGTCCATCAAATTATTTACATAATCCTAATGGTATTTAATTTTATTCATTAATTTGTACATTTATATCCCAATAACATTATGATATAGTTTATTATAAACATGCATTTTGATTAATGTAATCAAGACAATTATTAGTATTTTAGATTTCAATGAATGATTAACATTAATAATGAATAAAAGCACACATTTATCCATATCTTTATACTTAAATACATGCTTTTTAATTACCATGCATTTAAGTAATATATTCACATGAATCTGAAATATTATTATTTTTAAATTAACATTCATTTTAATTCCAATAACATGGTATTTTAGGAATTCTTTTACATTATTCTTAACTTTATACTTAATCACATGTTAATGGAATAATTTCTTAACATTTTAAATTAATTTAATCAAAAATACAAAATTTATCAATAAGTGAATAACAAACATTTCTTGATGCATTTTATATTTAATTACATAAAATTGTATTTGATTATTATTAATTATAATAAGTACATTAATTATTCCATTAACATTTAAATTTAGTTTAAAATAAACAAGATTCAATAGTTAATGCTTTTTAACAACATTCAATATCATTAATATCACAATCTAATATATCTTAATTTTAACCATAACAATAATTAAAAAATTAACATTATTTAGAATTTGAATTATTAGGTATACATGCTAATTTATTTAATCCTCTTGGACATGTTAAATCTTATGATTCTAAATTTGCATAAATACAAGCATTATTTAATTGATCATATTTACATTCTATATCTCTTGTTTATTCACAAAATTCATATGTATTTATCATAATTATATCTCTACATTTACTATTTTTATAATCTTAAATATTTTCATTTTAACATTTATTATCATAATATTTACAATTTTAACCTTTTGTTTTTAATTATAAACATCCTACTTCATTTTCAATTTAAGAACAATATAATTATTTTTATAATTCACTTGTTATTAATGAACATTTTTATTAAGAATTTCTATAACATCCTTCTAATAATACATTTTTACAATCCTCTATAGAAATAACTTATTAACAATAATATAATTTATTTTAATCAAATTATTGACATTTATCAATAAATATACAAGACTTATCCATTTCACAAGCTATTTAATTATAAAAATATTCTGCTTTCTTATCACAATCTAAATTAATTGAAGTATCATCAACTTCTTTGCATTAAAATAAAAGTGCATCATATTTACATGGTTTACTAGTATTAAGAGTACAAATTATGCCATTATTTATATTTATAATCTATTCACAAGCTATATCTTAACTTTAAGAATAAGTTTCACATTTTCCATTTCTATATTAACATAATTAAGATTAAGTCTTGACATTTAAACATGTCTCTTTGTTAAGTTAATCATCACATTATAATTGAGTAAGTATTTCATCTGTTGCTTCAAAACAACCATCCGACCAAAAAGTTCTTTTTAATTCTGTCGTCAGACATGCAAGTTTGTTAAATTAATAAGGATTTTCCCAACTTAAAATTTTATCAGTAATTTTACAAATTTTATCTTTATAATCATATAAGCAAGGTTTATCAGTTGCCAATGAACAAGTAAAAGCAGTTATTTGAATATTAGAATTTAAACCACAATATTATGGATTAAATACATTAAAATCTAAATCTTTACATCCTTCAATTTCATGAAAATAACAATATTAATCTTATAAACTTAAACATTTATTTTTATTCACCTTGTCTGTACATTTTGCCAATTCTAAATCCATTTTACATTAATTTTATTAAAATTTACATTTTGAATTAGATGTATGAAAAACACAAGCTTTTTCATTTAATCCAAATGATGAACACATTTCATCTATATTGGTGATTTTCATACAACTATATGTATTACTATCATATTTGCAAGGTACATCTGTAGTTTTAGCACAAGTAATTTAATTAACAATAGCCTTTTCGTTTTATAAAGTAAAACATTAATCATCTTATAAGATAGGTTAACATTTAAAATTCACAAATTTACAATTCAAACTTTTATTTGCAAGACAAGCAACCCAATTTAATGTATCAATGCATGATGTAATTTATTCATTATTAATCTTCTAACATTCTAAATCAATATATTAACATAAACCTAAAGTTTTAGATAAACAAGCATATTTATTGATACCTAAAGATCCACATTCAGGAACATTAGCTTTTCGTTCAGTTATATCTATACAAAAACCAAGAGGCCAAGAATATATTAGACTTTTTGAAAAATTCAAATTTGAATCTTATAACTTGCAATAACCACTTGAATGTTATATATTTGATTGGTATGTTTATTGTTCTGGATACATTTATTAACACTTATTCTGACTATAATAACATAATGAATTTTAAATCAAACAACCATTTTTGTTTAAATAATCTTTACAACCTTCATTGACATTTTAGATTGTTATACATTTATAATTTTTAAAAGCACAAGAATTTTTAGTTTTTAATAGACAAGCATTATAATTTAATCCTTAAGTTTCACATTGATAAAGTTATGGTTCTTATATTTCTCTACACTTATAGGTTTATGCTAATATACAACTTTTATTAACATTAATTTAAGTACAAGTTTAAGCATTCATATGTGATATTTCAGATTAATTAATTAAGAATTAAATACAACTTTCTGGTTTATCAAGGAATTTAGCTAATTCACATTTTAATAAAGTATCAGACCAAACACAAGTTAATTATTAGAAATTTAAGCATCCAAATTTATTTAAACCTTCACATTTTTATGGAATCAATTCAATTTAACATTTTAAATCTTTCCATATACATGATTCAACCATAGATAAATTACAAGTTGATTAATTCATATAAGAAACACATCTTCCTTTTAATGGATTAAATTTTTCACATAATTTACTTTCTGTATTAAACCAACATAAATT